CGCTCATACATATTCTGAAATGGTCATGCCCTGTAGTTTGACTCATAGATCTATTTTAGACGAATTCAACTTGGGCTAGAATCAGATCTCACTACTTAAAGTTTTTTTCTATAAAACACCCTAGGAGATTATCCTTTTGACCACCTCCGTCTGGCTATCTTTTTGTGGATGAGTTGCTGAACTAAATTGAAGCATAACACCAAGCATCCCTCATAAAATCTTCCAGAAGCGACTAAAAAATTTGACATCTTTGTGAAGTAATTGTCCTTGGTATCCCATGCAGTCTCACTATCTCCCTGAAATACAAGTGAGCTACATATGACGCATCAGTGTCCTATGACAAGGTACAAAATGAGTCATCTTCAAGAACTTTTCAGTCACTATCATTACTTAATCTTTATTCCACTGTGTCCTAGGAACACCCAGAATGAAATTCATAATAATATCCAGCCATTGAGCCTCTGGTACTAATAATGATTTATAATGCCTGAATTTTGCCCTCTGGTTTTTCCAGATGACAAATTCTGCACTGCTTGACATGCCTCTGCACATCTCGTGCCAGTCTATGAAAAAAAAAAAAGGTTTCTATCATAACGGCGAGGGTCTTATTTTTGCCAAAATGACATGTTATTTCTCCAAATGACCTGTTAATTCTCCACTATGGCTCTCCTGTATGGACTCTCTCAATAAAAAATTGGGAACACAAACTGTTCTGGTGGCATCATATCTGTGATACTATCTTCTACGCCTCTGTGGATTCTGATCCCAATACTTTTTGAATTCTTTGTCTGCCTCGTACAACCCCTGCACTGCATCAACTCTAGCCTGGATGGAGGTTATCAGTAAGTCGAGAAAACACAAGGTATTTATTACTCGATTATGACTTTTTTTCGTGTGCTTGACCACAAATTGGAATAACGCCTAGAACTCCATCGAGAAGCATATCTTCCCGTTAGCTTGCTTTGACTATTTAAGAACCTCAAAGCCCATGATCTATGAATAAATTAAACTCACAAGTGAACATGTTGTGACTAATGATTAAGAGCTCTCGAAATAGAATAAAACCTTTTATCATATGTCGAATACTTCTCGACTCGTTCAACTTCTCACTGAAGAAGTTTATGGGATGCCCTCCCTTGCTCAATAATGCTTCAATCCCCACATTAAAAGCATCATATTCCACCTTGAATAACTGATTGAAATTTGGTAAAGCTAACGTTGGGGACTAAGTCACATTCTCCTTCTGGATTTGAAAGCGGGACTGAGTTGCATCTATGCACTGAAACTTCTATCCTTTCAAGAGCTTTGTCAGGGGAATTGTAACGGTGATGAAGCTCTTGATAAGTCTCCTATAAAAGGATGTCAATCCAAAAAACTATCTTAGCCATTAAAGGAATATGGGGGTGTCCAACTGACGATAACTCATGACTAAGTCTGACTTCTTTCCGCTGATCTTTTTTCTCACTCCTTTGATCATCCTTCACAAATCCCTCAAGTGTGCTCCTACTGATACCTCTAATTGTATATGACTGTCTGAATGGAGGTGGGTGCCTACTCTGCTTCTACTGTATCTCCACCTTCAGTGTTAAGGTCTGAATATCACCCAATGACCAAGAAGGTTGTAGCTAGATAAAATTGCAACTTTAGGGCTTTAGGTCTCACAAGTACCTGACTATAGTGTACTCCAACCATGTCAACTCACATTTTAGGATAAGCTGCTAAAATTCTGTTGTGAACTCTAACAACATTTCCCTTTGATGTAGGTGGTGGAGCTTCAAGAATATTTCTAGGCGGTAGTTTGGGGCTAGATATTTCTTCTGCATCTCCTTTTTCTTCTCCCATGTAGTGATCTTGTTTAGAACTTTTTCTGTCGCTAGCTCTTCAAGTTCTCCCACCATAAAGAGACATTCTTCTTCATCTTTATGGCCACAAGATTCAGTCCCTTGTCAGCGCTCTCTTTTGTGTATTAAAAAATTCTCTCGACTGTCTGCAGCCACTCAATGAAATCATCTAGATTCATTCTCCTCTGAAAATCATGTAGGATTATTTATACTCCCAGGTCTTTCTATCCTCCAATAGTCATTCCATCCCTCAACCCCTTCTGATGCTGTCATTCCATCCCTCAGCCTCTTCTGATGCTGAATGTCAAAGATTCGTGACCTATCCTAGAAGGGGTTCATATTTTTCTCCCTCCTCGAATCTCGCTATCACGACAATGACCTCTCATGTGGTCCTTTCCTAAATTTCAACAAGTTGTTGAAGTCAGTGTAGTTGTTGCTACACCTTTTCCTTGATAATTTTCTGAACGACGTTCGACACTTGTCTCCTTGGTAGCATGGTTAGGGTTTAGGTTTGGAGGGGGTGAAAAGGGTGTATAGGGGTGGTTTAGATGGGGAAAAAAATTTTGGAGGCTGATTTTGGGCTAGTTCTGATACCAAATGATATCAAATTTAGATCAAACAACAATGGAAAACAAATATTATTACCAACTTTAAATTGAAAATTACAACAAACAAACAAAAATATGAAATTGTAACAAACATAAAACACGACATGAGACGTGGTGGAGTTAGGGTGGAGGGGTGTCAGCTATGCGAGTTGGAAAGTGGGGCACAACAAGGTGGTGACATTGGGACTACAGGAACATTTAAAGGATGGCTGTCCTGGGCCGTGACAGCAAGGAAAGGTGACTGGATTGCAGGAAAGCAGCGAGGGATTATGGTTTGGGGGTGGAGGCAACAAGAGAGGATGATGGCAGCAATGCTCGAGCATTTCTTTG